AGGCGGCCCCGGGGCGGGAGGATGGGGCCGCGCCGGGCCCCGACGCGTGTGCAGCGGCCCGGGAGGGGCCGAGCCGTGCGGTGAGGCGGGCCCGGGGGGGTCTCCGCATAAACCAGCGGCCTTCTCGGGAGCACCTTGCCTGGTGCCGGGTATTTCCCGGGTCTAGGCCCGGCCGCGCAGCGCCTGGCCTCGGCCGACACGCGGACTGTCTGCCACCTCCCGTAAGGCCCGTTTTAGGACACGTATCTATTTATCGTCAGCTTCGCTCGCCCCCACGCTGAGGCCCGCAGCTCTCCGGGCTGCTCCCTCCCACCTTGAGGCCATTTCCGAGAGCCGTCACCGAGTACCGGGCCGCTCACGGGCTGGCCAGAGGGCCCGGGGGGGGATAAACTGCAGGGTCCTGCAGGTTGGATCCAGGAAAACAACCTCATGATTGCCTCAAAAGTCGCCCTAGCATGAGCCAACCTTGGGCACCACTTGAGAGTCTTTTCGTTCCACCTGGTTTCTCTGCAGTTAGGTTGCTTATTGTGAATAAAACCGGTAAGGCTTCTTCCCCTGCTACACACGCACACGTTGAAATTAAAATACTGACGTTGCTTGCCTTACCTGGGGGGGCTTTTAATCCTGACCCAAAAAAAAGTTTCTTGTATTTTGTTCCCAATTTTTGTCTGTTTACGCTGATGGCTAATAAAATAACCTGAATGGCTCCCAGCTCATCAGTGCAAGGGCTGTTAGTGACATCGTGACATGCTTGTTACCCTTGGAATTGTGAATCTCATGTCAAGACCGATGTGAAATTAGTCTCTGCTTACTGGCTAATGGATTCTGCTTCACATCGTGTACTACAACACCTAATTCAGTGGAGTACGTTCTCCTGTGATTGATGGTTCTTTATTGCTGGAAAACAACCAGTAAAAGTTGAGTTGCCTTTAAGTTTTTTTCAAAAATGTCCATTAAATTTTTATAACTGAATATGACGGGGCCTTTGTAGCTTCTTGGTTGTGGTGTTTTATTTAATCTTTTTTTTCCCCCATGTATTTATATAGGACTATATTTCAGGCACTGGCTGAAAGGAGTTTAGCTGTATTCAGTGCAAGCTTTCACATAAAGTATATGCTGCTGCAGTAGGGTGGTGGAATATTTACCCCAATTAGCAGATGCTGCTAATGAATTAGTGCACAGAGGGAAGAGAACACATCTTGCCTCACCGTCAGAAGGGAGTAGATGTTGAGCTCAGTTAGCCAGCAATGTATTGGCAGAGTAAGATTCCCATAACCTGGACTGCAGCATCATTATTTTTTTCTTATTTTAATGTAATACTCTCTTTTAAAGTGAAACTTCTGCTTCTGTTTGTCAGTTTTTTAACCCCCTGGAGATTTCAAAAGCCAGTTTTTAGATTTTCTTCCTTGGAAGGCTGCAGAGAACCAGCCTGTGAATGTCCTGGCCATGACATTTGCAGGTTTACAGTCTGGGCAGTAGTACTAGCTTCTGAAGAGATGAGTAGGTTTTGAAAAGGTCATGCACAGATCTTGTTTTTAGCACTTTTCCTTCTGCAGATCTTCTTGTTTACAAATGTTTCAGTTAATCCTGTAGCAGCTGCCTCTACAGGTACTGATAAGGTGTATTATCACAATTCAGCAGGTGGGTGAAGTGGCACCCAAAGGTGACATGTGGTCAGTGGTAGCACTGTGAAGACCGTTTCCACTAAGTCCTGGGCCATGTGTGCTCACTGTCAAAGATGGCTCATGCTTTTACATCTTGCACCATTTGATCGAGGCCCCGTTATTTGGGGAAACTAATCCAAATAACTATTCAGTTACTGACTGACATACTCTGTGTCTGCCACAATAGGTATATTTTTAATTAGGTGTTTACATTTTAGATAAATGTGATCACATATTTTTTTAATCTAGTTATTACTGTAGTAATCTTTATGAACATAATCTTTAAAATGTAATGTGAAATGATTATTTAATTGGGTGCTTGTAGCAGAATTTCTCCTGTTGAGATTTCTGACTGGCTAACCAATTTCCTTGAGCAATATGGTTTTCCACATGATAGATTCACTTATTTTCCTCAAGAAGATACTGTAATTTTAATTGGAAAGCTTTGACATATTTTGGATTGACTCAGAAAACAAGTCAATTTTTCTTTCATTAAAGATCTTGTACAGTGGATGCAAATAGAAATATAAATGGAAAATGAGACACTAGCACTATACTGGCTTTTATTCAGAGTTTGGTTTGGTTTACTTGGGCATGTTGTAAAGACTGATAAGGTATGTGGGGTGTATATAATACATACATTACGCACCTGTATTATCTGTATATTTTAAATAAGCTCTTTAATGCATGTTTTTTGTGGGAAGGAAGTGTTTTGTGACACCTTCTTGGGCTTTATCCCCAGCCAAGCCCATTTTAGCTGGGACCTAAGCTATGTCCAAGTCTGTTGTTCCCCACTGTGTTACCTGTCAGCCTGCAGGCTCATCTAAACACAAAAATGATGCTGCTTTAAATGAGAAGAGTAAAATTATTTGATAGAAAATTCCTCTGCAGTGTTGCACATACAGGTATGCTTTTATAGCCACAAAGCAATTTTTGTACAGGAGTGCTTATAAACTGTACTGGTAGACTTGCCTCTAGCTGGAACCTACAGTGGCATAAATGTACACCTCTGACAGACACAGTTATTCACACACTTTCTGTAGACCCTAAGGGAGGTCTCAGTTCCTAGGGATGTGAGAATACAAGGAGTATTACTATAAAATTATGAAAAGTTCTGGGTTTTCCAGCATGTTTGGTTAACATTGTTGGTAGGTAAATTGTCACTTAGTTCAGGCACCTGACTTGAGAAAAATAAAAAGGAAATAAAAAGGGTCCTTCACATACCTCAGGTCTGTAGTTTTGTTTGTGCAGGGACTTTTCATAGACTGTGACAGATGACCTCTTTTACTCCCAGCTGTGAGAGGTTACTGTTCCTTATCTGCCTGTTCCCATCCTCTGCCAAAGGTTATCACTGAGGATGCAATTAACAGGAATGCCCTTGTATTAGGCAAAAATAGCAGTCGTACCCTAAACTAAATTACTGGTCTCAACTAATTTGGCAGACTGTTCCTGCAGTGAGGTAACACTTGGTTACACATACTACCTGACTGGTACTTTGGTGGGTCATCACTGAAAAGTTAAGAGCTTCCAACTTTTCATTTAGCACAGCTGGAGGCAGAATACTTATTTTTGTAACCTCAGTTACCTTTTAGCCCTTCCAAAGGCAGGTTCCAGCCTTTGAGCCAGTTCATTAAATAAATGGTTGAAAGTATAGATGTTACAAAAAATGGCCAATCTGGTAAGACATACCTTTAGCTCTGAGCTTCAGTGCTGTTTGTACTGGTGGCATTGGTTTCTCATATGCAGCAATAACTTTTAACACCGTTACATTCTCTCTAGCGTTTGAAACATTAGAAAAATCTTAGCAAGGTTAAGGAGTTTTAACAAATCCATCAAATCTAACCAGGAAAGGTCTGTTTCTTTGTAGGTGAGTATAGATATGTGGCTGACTGTTGGCTTCCAGTAGATAGCTGTGATCAGCAGTTTTTACTTTTCCATTGCATTTGCCCAAACTTAGACCAAACCCAGAGAAAAATCACAAAAATAATTTACTTTTTATCAACTGCTAAATATTATGTAATAGATAAATGTCATCCTGTAATTATTGCATGTTCAGAACACAATGCAAAAAAACTGAAGTTATGTGTTTATATGTCTTTCTTTTTAGTTCATGCAAAGGGGTTTGGATTCACAAACTAAAAAACAACTAGAAGAGGAAGAAAAGAAGATAATTAGTGAAGAACACTGGTATCTTGATTTACCAGATCTAAAGGAGAAAGAGTAAGCTTGTACCCTTTTGTACTTCTTATCATCATTGGATTGTTGTGGAGTGGCAATAGAATATAGATATTTTTCCTGTAAAAGAAGTATTATTAATAACCAGTTAACAGAAGCAAAAATAGTGACAGACTGGCATTACAGCTTGCTTTATTACTTGTTTTCAGGGACGTTCTCAAGGTTGCCTAATGCAGTTTGACCTAGTTTCATTTCTTGTGTGTGTTGTTTTCTTTCACTCACACATTCTTCTAGATGCATGTAATTAGTTTCTTTCAGGCAGGGACCAATTCATTCATTGCTGCTTTTTCATTTCGTTTGAAAAAAAAGAAGTTTGAAGCGTCCTGTGTCTGGAGCTGAATTTACTAACACAGATCTGTTCAGGACAGTTCTGTCTTCTTGAGTCCAGCTCACTTCAAATCCTGGTTTTGAAATAGGAGAGAGAAGAGCAAAAATAAAGGAAGGCGTAGCTAATAAGGAAGAAAATATCCATTCCAGCTATTTAGAAAGGTTCTTTAAATAGCAAGAGAACTACTTTAAAAATGGATTGATTTTTGTCCTTTCAAAAGAGGAGAAAAATTCCATTGAGGGAGAACATACATAATTTTTTAAAAGCTGGGATCCAACCAATTAGCTGTAGTTGAATAAGATCACTGATAATCTATGCTCTATTACTGTTGGTGGGTATGACAAAAAGGTATTAGAGCTTCAGTTGCAGCAAGGAATGTTCAAGCTGGACATTGGGAGGATTTTTCTAACGATAAGGCTATTGAAGCTCTAGAATAGATTGCCTAAGGAGACACTGGATTCGTCATCATTGGGAGTCTTTTGAGGACAGGTTAGATGGGCCTCTGATGTTCATGGAACATTTTTAACTGATCCTACCTTGAGGTAGGAGAATGAGCTTGATCTCTTCAACCTAACTTCCTCTGATCGTAGGAGTTTGTTTTACATGGGAGATGAGGAGGGAAGAGGTGCATATGTGTGTGAGGAAAAGAAGGATGGAACAATTCACGGAAGTACTTTTATCTAACACATGTATTATGAACGCCTCAGGGTCATGTTTCTTTTCTCACTTGTGCTCATTAAAAGAGGAAAAAAGAGGGAGAAAGAGGAAATCTTTCTCGGCTGAACAGAGAATTACACAGTGTTTTATATCCTGACAGACTCAACTAATGCCAGGTCTAACATCACAATGAAAAATTAATTAGAAGCTTTTGCTGGTGTAGTAATGCCACCTGGAGAGTGATATTTATGTGGTATTTTTATTCTGGCAAAAGCATTAATGTAGGTGGAATCATACCAGCAAAGAGTGCTTTTTGTTAGGAGAGTTAATTTTGCTTGTGGAACTGGCACAGCTTTACTGGCAAAAAGTGTTCCTTTGCACTCCAAGTGCCTTGTATTGAAAGATTTATCAGAGCAATTAAGCTTCAGAAAGTAGTTGATGGTTTAAAATACACTGTGGTTTTGTTTATTTGTGTGGGGGGAAGACAGCAAATGCTTTTTGCATTTGTCTAATTTGATTATTTTAAAGCACACTGTTTGACAAAATACTGGGTTTGGGCTTTCATGTAGGAGCTTTATAATAGAAGAGAGGAGCTTTATGCCATGTGAGGATCTACTTTATGGCAGAATGTCCTTCAAAGGATTCAATCCAGAAATCGAGGTACCATTTAAATGTTCTGTTTTGTTGTGATCTCACATGAGGATTGGAGCCCTTGGGGATGGGGATTTGAGTGTTCACACTGCATGCTGTTTGGCCTTTGCAGCGCCTTCCATAAATCCTTCCATGTACAGGAAGTCGGTGATTGAAACCAAAATGTCGATCTATGTAGCATCTGGTAAATAGGAGCTTTTTATCTCATTGTGTTAACCGTCAGCAATTGCATGACTCCTGTAGATTTTCCCTCCTGAAGCGAGGAAGCTTTCCCACATGCTGCTCACCAAAACAGCAGCTCACTTTTCCTCCTGCCATTTAATTCAGAGTCCAATCCTACAAACATTCAACCCTCTTTATGCAACACTTACTCTGTAAGTAAGGGCTTAAAGTTCTAAAGTAAAAATTCCGGGCAAGAGGGATTAATTTCTTTCTGGCATGATTTATGCTGATGGAACTACACTGAGATAGTAATAAAAATGTTACCACTGAACTGAAGCAAGAGGATGAAGGTGTAAAGACTAAGGTATGCAAAACGCTATGCAAGGTGATTTACTGGGGGATTTTTTTTAGTTATTTTGAACTTGCTCTCACTGTGACTTTGCATATTATTGCTTCATGGTTTTTTCTAGTAGTTTATTGTAAATCCTTGCAGATATTTTTCCTTCTTAACAAAACCATTTCAAGGACTATGTGCTAACATCACAATGAAAAATTAATTATGATCTAATTCTCTGGCCTCCTGAAGAAGTCTGGCATGCCCTTGAGGATGTTTCAGTAGCACAATTCACTGAAAACCCCATCTCTGTGTTGCATCTTTTCCCAAAGGCAAACTCTAAGCTTGGCTTAGCAACAGGCAGCCATGTTGCCTTTTTCTTCATGAGTTTTTGTCACAGTATGGTCTAGCCTGACTGGGAACAGCAAATAATTATTAAATTTTATTCTTATCTTTTATGCATTTCTCCTACAGTCAGTTTCAGCATAGTTGCTATGTGTCAGGGTTACATGTTTAAGCTATTTCTTACTTCATTTTCAGAAGTTAATGATCCAAATGAACTCTAAATGCAAGGAAGAAATTGAAGTGGATGATAAGATGGAGGCTGATGTGTCAGATGAAGAAATGGCCAGAAGGTAAGTTATATTTTATGACATCATCAATATCAGCTGGGAATATGGTATGTTACTGCATTATGTGTGGGAAAATAAACCCAAAAAGCAAGCAGAAAAAAAAGCCCTAACAGATATGGTACTTTACAGAACTGATTTTCCAGATACTCTGGTGTGTGTTCAGTGGAATCTCCATCACTTTTGGAGGTAAAATATCTTTTAGGGGTTTTCTGCCCTTTGATACCCAGGTATTCCATGCTAATTCCCTCCTTGTCCAGATTGCTACAAACCCAAACTGTCAGAATTAATAATAACGTAGCAAGTGATCATGTAGTACTTGTGTAGTAAACTTCATAAGCTTCTGGTGACCAGCTTTTTTACACCATTTAAATCGTTGATTAGACTTGTGATTTGCTCCATTCAAGTTCTCCCTAATTTTACTAAAAGCTGTGCATTTTTTATTATCTGTACAGATATGAAACATTAGTGGGAACAATAGGGAAGAAATTCTTGAGAAAAAGAGACCAGCGTGTGCTCCAGGATGAAGATGAAGATGGGAATAATAACACAAGACCTAGCAAAAAAGCCAAGAAAAAGTTCTTAAAACCACAGGATTAATGTCAACTGCACAACTGGAGCTAATAGAAATGTTATCCATCATATATAGTATCATGAACTGGAGATTGTTGGAAATTTTTGCTATTTAATGTAAAGGATAGATTTCTAGATCTGAGTCTTTTCTCGTTGAAATTTCTACCATCCACATGACAAACATTTTTCAAAGTGGATGTGTGTATAATGGATGTCATACATCCTTTCCTCTCTCAGCAGCTTTTAATGTGTGGGACACTTAACGCCATCAGGTTTTTTAGATGTTGTGCATAGGTAGTGTCACATGCAGTCAAGAGCAACATTATTTACAATTTATGATAACATCAGAAAGAAGTATTTGGAGTAAAGATGAGTTTTGTCCAATCCAGTAAGGCAGTTCAGCTTTCACTGCTTTTTTTATTATGAAAATGAAAACCTTTGCTGTCTTCATATTGACAGAAGTCAGCAGAAACATGGAAATATTTTTTTTCCATGCTAAAAATAAGATGGGAAAAGAACAGAGAGATAGAATCCATTTTGTTGAATTTTGTTTTTATAAAACTTACTTAAAAATAGAGGGGCTTGTAGTAAAACTTTTTTTTTTTTCCTAGAGCAAGCCAAATATTGGGCAACGTTTACAATTTGACAGTTGAACAGATTGTGAGTCTTACTTTGTCTTCCAAAAGACGTTTGCTAATCTTGCCTCTTTTTCAGAAAAAAAATCCAATCTTACAATTATCTAGGTCTTGTCATAAAAGCATAATAGCAGCTTCTGAAACATATTTGAAAGCTGAATAAAACCTGACTTTTTTGGTGGTTAATGATTGTGGTTTAGCTAATTTCATGAAAAAAAATTATGCTTAATACAATCTGATATAAAAAGTGATCCTGTTTATTAGTTGCCTGCACTGACTTTTTCTGTTTAGTGTGCAATGAAGCCATCTGAAGTAAGGTTAGGATGGAAGCATCATGCTCTTTCGTCAGTCGGTGCTCTGGGCCTATTGAAAAATGTCAGTGTGGTCGTGTCTAAAATTACAGCAGTTCTCTATACTCTGCCTTTCAACAAGAAATACTTTTTTCTATTACTTCATTTCCCAGCCAGATGTGTAAGTTACTCATCCTTAATGCTGATTCTTTGGAGAAAGAGAAATTTGTTAAATTGAAGCCAGTAGTGGCCATTCTGTTATGGACACAGGAGCCTTCACAGGCGCCTTTTTTTTTTTTTTTCTTTAACAAAGCGAAGAAAGACACGAAACTCAATTATATAAAGAAAGAGACTGTATGTCTGCTGTATTTTGCATGTGATATGTGAACTATAATCCATGTATCAAGAGTACCTCATTAGATATTCAAGATGAATCACACATGGAAAGAGAAATATACTTTTAACCTAGTAAGGGGACCTCATACAGGTGGGAAGTCTGTGATTCATGATCTGAGATAGTTTTTCAGAGCTAATTAAATGCTACTGGATCAATTACTTAAAACCTGATCATATATTATTGCTAGCTGAACAGAAGTTAATGATGGCAAGACATTTTTCTTCCCATGGAAGATGTGACCTGAGCTAACAAATGATTTATTGTTGGTCATCACAAGAAAAACTCAGAATGTATCCCATTATTCTTTTTTACTTATTAGTAGGAAAATTATTCCTCTCTATCTGAACACATTTCTTCCAATGGAGAGAGAATTTCTGCGTAGTTATGCTGGGTAGTTGAGGGGGGAAAGTGTGTTCTAGTGAACCACCATCAACCAGGAGATGTCACTGCAGTTGCATGTCCTGAGAGATTGTGAATTGGAGAAGGTTCCAGTGGTGTCATGCAGAGGACCTTTTGGGTAATTTTGGTAATGATTAGTGGCTCAGATAAACTGCATGTGAAGTCTTTCTTTGCCAGGGCTCTATGCAGAGAGCTCTCTTGCATTGCAGAGTTCTGTTCAGTCCAATGGGGAATAATTTTATACAGTTAAAAGCGTTCTGCCGTACATTGGTCCTTAATTTCATGTAATTTTCTGAGGGATGACAGGAAATGTGAGTGTCATGGTGTGAGCGAACTCTGAACAGCTTCCTAGAAAACCCATGATTTGGGAATTTGGGAGGGGAGAAAGGTGGTTCTTCTGTTTCCTAAACATGCCCAACACCAACTGTGAAGAAATTACAGATTTTGGTTTATTGTCTTCAAATATGATTGCCCTCTGTTCACGTTTAGCTGGTGGCTAGGTGAGCTATTGAAATGCTGCAGTAAGACCACCTCCTAATTCTTAGCACAATGTCTTATTCATGCGGAGTTTGTAAAATGCACCTTTAAAAGCACCTTTCATAGTGCATTAGTATGAGCAAGACAGAACTAAAAATCAGCCCTATGTGACTTTCTAAATGTACTTTAAATGCCCAAAGTTACAAGCAGGCATTTTATGATGGGATACCCATCTGTATTGCCAACCTTATATATACATACATATGTGTAGGTATTTTAAGTTTGGCTCTCGCTGCCTAGGCAGGGTGGAAACATTCTGCTGTATAAAATTTGTGCTTGAACTGCTCTTGACAGAGATACAAGTGTAGCAGTGAAATATTCATAATGCGAGCCTACATTAATTTAAGCTTTCTTGGCTCTGACATGGTTGCAAATGCAGATGCATTTTCATGTGCAGCTTCCTAAGCTGTAGAACTTATCCGTGTGGTCATGTTTCTAAATGAAAAGCATTTCTTCTTTGAGAACAAAGCAAGTTGGGATAGGTAGTATGCGTTTTTGTTAGAGAAAATGGCTACTTGCAAAATTTAATTGGTAAAGAGTTACCAGACACCAGAAGTGTTTGTGCCTGTTACACGAAGGTACCTATTAAAGTGAACAAAGCAAAGTGTGCGTTGTAGTTTGTGCTCACTGACAGCTCACAGTGTTAAGTTTAAGGAAGTCTCTTGTCAGGTGAAGTTGTGTCCCTCCCTTTGACAGGCTGACTGTTTATTTCTGTACTAACTGCTGATGTTGGAAACATGTAAGTATAGAACTTCTTTTTTGCTGATGTTTCTTGTTTTGTTACTTTTACTCTGCTTAGTCTTGGATCTTAAAAAGTCCAGGACCAGAGTCCAACTGAAGTGAGCCATCCTGTATCCTCCCTTTAGTAATGCATGAGCTGATTAAACTTTGATTCTTGGTGGAGGCGGGGGGCGTTCTGTGGTGCCATGGAGTTTGAACTGTGTTTCTTCTGTTATGTGTCTTGTTTTCTAATAAGACACTTGATTATACAACCCCACAATCATGGATGGCTGTCGTTGCCATTGCGCATTGTGTGTAATGGGCAGCTGGGCTGGGATTCTGGGACTTAATCCAGCATTCAGACTTAAAAAGAAATTGTCTCTACTTTCTGTTAATTGGAATAACATACTTTTAAATTGTATTTGGAATTAGACAAGTCCTGGGTGGGGGGGTATAAGTGTTGTGTTGTGCTTCGTTTCAACAGCAGTCAACAACTAAAACTGCACAGTAGTATAGGCTCTCATTAAACCTTTCTCAGAGTGTTAATAAAGCATAGTGGTGGTGAAGGATGTCAAACACCCCATGTTTCCCTTCTGCATGTGAATGCAAGTTTCTCTGAGAGCTGATGCTCTAAGGCCTTAGTTATTTATTCTGAGTCTGGGAGAGTATCTGCCTCACACAATATTACCTTGCTAATGGAACCCCAACATGAGGCCTCTGGGTTTGTTTGGGTTTGTTTGATTTTATACCATTTTCATCTCAAACCTTTGAGACATTTTGGGTCTGGCATTCACACCTCAATAACCTGTTTTCATCAGCTTTTGGGGAGCTTTAGTTAAACTGTGAAACTGTTCCTCAGGTGTACATGTGTGATCTTAGGTTGCACAGTGAGGACCTGGGTATGATTGTCACACAAATCCCACTTAGAGAGTGGTTATCAACAGATGGGGTCAGAGGGAGGGTTGAAGCCTCGGTCATTGGCAGCCCCATAGATCTTTAATGAGAACTGAATAGTAGCAGGGGGTATCTGGGTTGAGTCCCATTATTGCAGTCACCGTTAAAAATGCCAATTTGAGTCTGTAGACCGCTGCCCATGAAGAACTCTGCAAGAAACCCTTGCACACCATAACCTGAACAATTAGCTGGGAGCAACAGCAGGAACATCTCTAGAGAAGCATGGAGGCAAAATAACCAGTCTGTTAATGGTTGGCCTCAAGACAACGGGCGGCAGCACCAGAATTCTTCATTGCATAGAGAAATACGGTTTGGTGACCTGGGTGAACGCAGATGGGAGTTTCTGTCAGCTGGAATAGAGGTGGTGAGTGTTTTGAAGCTCATAATGTTCCTTGGGGTCTCAGGGAACACCTAAGTTTGATCAATCATTTAGAAAGGGGTAAAAACCCTTAATGGGACCTCAGTATGAGAGTAATATGAACACAGAACAAAGTCCTTATTCTATTATTTATAGAAAAACTCTGTTCCCACCTCAGTAAGATCTTTGAGTGTCCTGTATTGCCTTTGGCTTGGCCCTTGGTTCCTTGTCCTTGTGCAAGTACACGTGTAGCCAGGCCATCAGGTGCCACCAGGGCCGGTCAGCAGGGAAGAGCCGGCGTGCACCGAGGCCAGCCCAGAGCTGCTGAGACCAGCAGAGGAGGTGACTACTGGGCCTCTTCAGGGATCATCGTCCTTCTTCAGGGATGAGTCTACAAGTTCTTTTTCCAGCAACTGGTAGGAACTTACCGTCTTCAACACTGCTGTCAAATTTGTTCAGTATTGGCCTTTTCGGTTCATGAAGTTTGTAGTGGGGAAGGTTGACCAGCAGAGCAACAGCATAATTGAACAGACCTCATTCACATCTCAAATGCTGTGTGCAGGAGTCATGCAGATGGGGGGGGGGGGGCTGTATTTACTGAAACTTTTTGTTTTCCTTTATTTTCACTTACAGAATTAATGAGATTTATGATCAGAGATATCTTTGAGCAAAAAGATACACTATCACTGGAAGGAATCAACATTTGACCAACACTCAGGATAATCACAGATTGGGGAGAAAGAGTGTTTTTCAGCATTACTGCTATTTTTTGATGCATTTTGAGAATGCTTCCCCTTTCTCAGTGGTTTCGTTGTTTGGGCTTTTTGGAAAAAAAAATTAAAATGGGGAAATGTGATTGTGCTACAACTCTAAAGAAAGGGATTCCTTTAGATTTGGTTGGCTCCTTGATTTTTTTTTTCACTTTGATAGAGATGAACTCGCTCACTTGTGACACTAAAGCTCCTGCACTAAGTGGTCCTCATTCAGCATAGCTATGGGCTCCCATATTTGCTATACACAGAGGGCAAAATGAAGGGTATAGTGGAGTAAGCTTCATTTTCTACCTTTGTTATACAAATAACTTGCAATGCTAAAAATACAAAATTTCCACCCCTTTTGGGATAGAAGTAAATCTAAGCCAGTGTTTTGCTAATCAAAGATGCCAATTAAACTCAGACACCAGACTGAAAAGAGTAGGCTGATTTTACTGTTAATAATTAAAGGATATAACTAAGTACTACAAAAATAAGCAATAAGAAAAATACAGAACAGTACACTTAGTTATTACTACACACAGTTAAGCAAGGCAACGCACCTAATCATTACTACACGATGGGGAGAACAGTGATTAAGAAAGATCCATCACCACTTGCATACGTTACCAACATCCAGACCCACAGTCGCTGGGGAGCCTGGTTGCAGCGAGGATTTGGAGAAACTTTCCCTGCAAGTGGGAAGTCCTACGCACTGCATCCATCCGTAGGTGAGTTGCAGTAGGCAAGTCCAGCCTTACATACCAAAAATCAGCAAGCCAGAATAATTTGCACCTCTGCTTTGAGAGGAAACATCTGGTTTCATCCTCATGTTGGATTCTACCCAAAGCCTGGCCGAGGCTCACGGGGGAGAACCAAGGCAGGGTCTAACAAGGCCAAACACTTGGGTTCTCAGCCTTGAACAAGGCTGAACAAGGAAAGTTGAATACATTCCCACAACATTTCATCCTCACTACTGGTTATATTCTAAGCTACATCTTTAACTAGTGAGCATACATATTTCATTAATGATCAGATACTAATAATTGATGCTAATGGTAATACAGATTTTACTAATTAACAGATACTAATAATGGATAACGTTTAGTTGTGAGGTTCACCTAGAGGTCAACTTTGTTTCGGGACCTATTATTCAGACCCTAGCACTGCAGCTAGTTGTGATGTTTAAGCACCATTCCCCTTTATAGGATGATTACTTAATCAGCAGCAAAGCTTGTAGGTATTTCTTTAGAGCCCATCAGCCACAGTAATGCTGCAATATATACAATTTGCACCACCAGAAAATATGCACATATCAAAACTTACTTAGGGCAGTTTACTGCAGCCATGACAAAAGGGATGCTCATGATGATAATTTTCATTTTGTACCATGTTTTGTCTAAGGATGACGGTCAGAGAATTATGCCTCCTAATGCTCCTTTCAAAGATGACATTGTTTTACTTTTATTAAAGGTAGAGAAATGAGATGAGCTGCAAATGGTTAGACCTTGTGAAAAATTAAGTTTTAAATGTGTACTTCATTGTCTAAATGCTCACAGATTACTTTTCTCCCTATAATAACCATAGAAAATGTGTTGACAGCATATCACAATTAATAATCCATGTGCTATAGGCACTCCAAAATTCCCCAGACATATTTATTACCCAAGTTTATAACCAAATTCAAATCAGATCCTATAGTTGTGCCAAAAATTGAACTGCAGTCATCTCACAGCAAATAATTCTATCTACCTGGCAGAAGAGTCTTAAATTCCTAATTTTTCCCAGAGTGAAATTCACTTTAATCTGGTATTAATGTATTTTTCATTCAGTCACCTGCAAAAGAATCCCATAATCTTAGTGATTGCACAGACAGTGAATGTACATAGACAGCATTATTGCAGGTTCTCCTGGTCATCTAGATTGTATAAAATCCTTTGACATTAATTGGGACAAGTTTTCTATCTAGGGTTATGTTAAATTTCTCTTTGAGTGTTTTTTCCACCTCTTCATCTTCAAGAGTTACGAATTCCACCAGATCCATATTTTCCTTGTAGTTGTATGTGGTCTCAGTCAGTGTCCACCCGATTAGTGCTCGAAAGCCATCAGTGGTCTGGAGGGTGCAGATGGATTTCTTTGTAAAGAGGGAATCTGGCGATGTCTGAAGGTACGTGCACTGGAAACTGAAATCTTCCACTGTCCGTGGCTCAAGGCTGAACATATAAACTTTCCTACACTCTTTTTTCTCCAGAAGATCAGAATTAGAGAAATTTTGATTTGGGATATATTGTTTCCGTCTCATTTTCTCAAGGTACCAGATGGCATTTTTTTCCGTGAAGCGAAAGACACCGGGAGCCTGGGGCTGGTCTTTCCCCGACACAAGCTCCATCGGTTGCCACATCTGATAGGATACACCAAAGCCTCCATCAACAATATAGGCTTTGCCATCAATAACTACCTTTACCACGAGATGGGTCATGATGGTGGCGTAGGCATTTTGATGTGGATTGAACACATACGCTCCTAGAAAGCTGGCGTCGTACCCCAGGCATTTCAGGACCCAGCCCAACAGCTGGTTGTTTTCCATGCACCAGCCACCCCGCTTCCTCCGCACGATTTTGTTATAAACATGCTCCAACTCCAAAGTAATTTTCTCCCCACAATGGATGCTGAGGTTTTCGAAAGGAACAGCACGGATGTGGTGCTGGAATATATCGGTTAAGGTTTCTAAATCTTGTTTTTCAAGGGAACCTTTATAGCCAGTTCTAGCAAAATACTCTTCAAGGTTCATGTCACCTGTAAAGGAAGGAATTGCATTTTTGTTTTGTTTCTTTACATCAGTGATTTATGATGCTGTGAAAAACTGCCCAGGCTGCTGCCAGCAAAGACGTTTTAATCTACTGAACCTCATCAGAGCAGTTTTTAAAGGTAGCAAGTATTCATATCAAATGTTTCCCCAAGCAAAGAGCAGTGCACATGAGGGTTTGCTTTTTGTCTTAGAGTCATCCCTGTGGCAAACAGCTGATGTAATTTCAGCTTGATATGCAGTGGCCGTGAAACAGGGATTTGCTGTATTTGCATTGTAACAGTGGGGTTAAGAAGAAATGTAAGATCATGCTAGAGACTGTTCAGGAGGGTTCATGAAAACCAGTCTAAATCCACTGTTCAGTGAAAGGAGTGTCAGTGGGGGGAAGCAGTGTTGTCTGCCTGTTGGAGGGAGGATAATTTGAGCCAGGATTTGCATGTTCTTTTCATGAGTCTGACGCTGATCTACATGACAGTAAATGAACTGCTCATTTGGTATAGGGCACTCTTTCGACACTTACAAAAAGTGAAAATGATGCTCCCTGTGCATTTTGTAAAGTGTCAAGTTTTATTCAGATAATTGTAACTGAAAAAAAACCTCATCTGACCTTTGCAGGAGTTGCAGACCACTGACGCTCTTGACTGCTCAGAGTGCGGCACAAACTCATTTTGGTGTTGGAATAATGAATCTGAATGGAGGTGAGTGACCTAAAAGGCAGAGTACATCTCTCTAGTCCTGGCCTTTCTCAAAACTCACTTTATTCCTTTCAGAGGAGACATAACTGAGAATTACTGAAGCCTCATACAGTGCATCCCTGGTCTGTCGTGTCTCCAGCAGTGCCCACCTCCTAGCCTGCCTTGGTACGACTCCTCACGAACAAGAGTGCTGGAGGAGGAACTACTCAACCAATTTTCTGCCTTCTAATACTGTGGAAAGTCGCACACAGTCCCCTGGCTTTCTCAGCGGCCCATCACAGTCTGCTGACCACCACTACGAGCTGGATGCTCCGCAGGTATCTGACAGATACTGTTTGTGAAATCCACTATAGATCGTCTACTTGGGTATGGAGCTGGGCACAACATGTTTTGAAGGCTTGAACCTTTGCAAAGACAGCACTAAGCATTTCAGCAGTCTAGAGTTACTGCAAATATTTAGTTTCTTGACAGCCCACAAAGCTACTTGGAAATCTTTTGTGCATAGAGTAGGCTGAGGTTTAGACACTTAATATTAGCAATTCAGGAAGACTATTTTATTCAGATAAATTTAGCGGTGAACTGTTGAGTGTTTACTGCAGACTGGAATTTCTCAAGATGATTTTCAGTGACAGATTCATGATGTGCATATGCATGGTATAGAAACAGCTGTCTAACGTGAATGGAGAGCCCCATCAAAAACCACGTGTTATCTTCTACAGAAAGGAATTTAGCTTCCAGTGATATTTAAGTGTATTGTTGGAGGATAGTCTCAATATAATGTTAAGTTGAACATAAGACTTATGGCACTTTTTTCTTCTGATTTGTGGAATCCAAGTCTATCCGATCCTACCGACTGAAATTGTGAATGCTAAATAGATTACACAAGCATAAAGCTGGTTCTCAAGTTTATATTATTTTTAATTTCTCTCTGCAGTTCCATAATATGATTGATCAGTGTTAAATCTTGACTGTAGGAGATGAAAGCTACCATTCTTTTGAATTGTGAGCAGATCAGAGGAAAAGCTAGATACTGAAAAGGTAGTCCCACAAATGTGACTATGATTTATGCAGAGAAAAACATCAGAAGAAAAACCTTACAGAACTATTTCTAAATGTGCAAATGAGGATGCTCATACAAAAATATTCCTTACCAGGACTATACACACTATCAGCAATTCCCCTTTTAAAATACGTTATCTGTCTACTTTTGTCCTACTATGTCAGCACATGGACTTTCTGGGGTACAAAAATCCTCAGCTTGTTATTTCTTTTTTTTTTTAAGTTGTTTTTAAAGGACGGTAACTTTAGTCCCTTAAAGCATAATCTATTGATTATTAGACTGCTCTTTTGCTTCCTTCGCATTTGCAATATTTTTAAATGAAGTTAAAAATCTAAAAGAGTAACTTCCAAGAAGAGGCTGTAGTTCTTAATTTCTATCTCCTATTGTATCTAAACAAAAGAATTTCTCTTATACTCAAGTGAATCTCCTCCTGAAGAGTAAAAGACACAAGAATTGAAATTGCATTATCACTGTTTTGCCCTCTTTAAAAGCCCATGTTTAGGCAATAGTTTAGCTCTATATCCACACATCTTTATAACATTTTTTTTCTAAAGATAATATCGCTTATGTTATTGCCTGTGACCTTTACCATTATAAAGAAACAAAGGGGTTTTGTTTCTTTCTTTGGAGTATTTTTGAAAAAAAATAAACTTACCTCTTAAGATAGCCTTATTTACTTATCGACGTATTCAGTTTCTGTGTTGTTTATTACTGGGGCAGCAGTCAGTAAAGCCAGGAGTGGATACGAATTGTGAGGGCTGTCTTCCTCTCTAAGCTCCACTGGCCCTCACTCATGAATCTTAAATGCTGAGAAAGGGCAGAGTCCACCCAAAATGAATGCACATTTTTAGAATTCACTGATCCGTGGGCAAATTAAACTTTGTTTCTTCCCTATTAGTAGATGTTTATGTTTTCCCTTAGTTAAGACCAGACTGAACTTGTTTTCCATGTAAAATAGTTACAGTAGACAGTTCCAAATGGCTCCAAAACTCTTTAAATTAAAATATTGTTATTTTGCAAGCCAGCACTTTGTGGTGGAGGATAGTCATCTACTTCCTTGTGGGTGCGCTGAATTGCTCAGTTATTGCAAGTTGCATGTTCCTATGCTCTGTGGATGCAGAAAATGACCCTTTTTGCTCACAAAGGAACTTTTTCCATCCGTTCAAAGCTTCAACTGCAGCAGATATATGGAGCTGCCATGCCTAATAAATACCATGACAAATATTTATTTGCACGAAGTAATGCATTTCCTCTTTAAAACTTGGCCTGCTGTGTCTTCAAAGTGTTGCAGGGCTGTTATTTAATTTTCTTCCTGTCGAGCATGTCTTCTCTTCATTTAATGGAGGTGGAAAGTTGGACATGACTTTTGGGAAGGCAAAGGGCACATCTGGGAAAGCACCTGAGTTTTGGGCACATCAGGTGCCCTGTGAGTCTGTGTGATTGACTAATATGAGCATCAAAGTCTTTTTCCTGGCTGAGGACTAATGCATTTCTGTCACGCGCTTTCATGACACCTGCTGTATAGTACCTGCCACAGGTATCAGAAAGTTAAAAGGCTTTTATGTTACATTTAAGATGCTGTAAAATCAAACCGGTGGCATATCCTAACTTCCCAGTGTTTCCTTTTGCATCTGCAATATTACTTATTTAAGGTCGATTTTATGCAGAATACCGTTTGTAATAAATATGAAGAGTTTTATCTACAATACTGTCATGCCTGCTTGACATCGCAGGAAGGTTAGGCCATAAAGTTTAGATTATAGTTTGCAAAGGCTGACCTAAATTTACATTTTTGATACCAAAATCCAGAATTTAAGAACTGTTGAAACATCTCAGCTTCTACTGATTTTGTTTTGATTTCAGATTTGTTTTGATTTCAATCATCAGAGACAATTTCAGGAAAATTCAGACTCGGAAAAAACTGGATGCTCAGAATTAGAGAGCTTCTGGGATTTTTAGGTGCCCTTGCATAAATAGCTCAATTTAAGTCAATTTCTGGTAAGGGAATAGGACTCAAGTCTTTCAACTTATTTCATCATAAGCTAATCAGCACCTAATAGTGGCTTGTTTTGAAAAAGTCTTAACCTTTCATTTCATTATGAAGTCTTTGAAAGCCAAATTCAGCTCAACTTTCTCTTGCAGACTGTTAACGGAAGTGAATAATTTGTAAAACTCTGCCGAGAAGAAAATTGGAAATAACACCAAAAAAGGTTAGAGGTCTTTTGTGTAAAATGGTAATGAAGCTTCTCCTTCCGTATCGTTTTGGTCTCCTCTGCCACAATATATATCTGAAATAAAATGAGATCCAGAGAGTTATGGAGTCAAAAAGCAATTTCCACGTGAGCAAACTAGAGGTAGTAAGATGTCTCCGTTTCCAAAAGAAGAGAAGCTTAAGAAAAAAAATGCAATTGGTATAAGCAGTTCATTAGCAATGTACTTGAATTTACCAAGACTGGTGTTCATCTGATTAGCTCAATTTCAGATTCAGATTACTATTACTAATGATAACTCATATAGTGGATATTTACAGATCCATCTAGCACACCATTAGAATTAGATTGTATCCACTAAATTAGGTGGCAAGCCACGAACATTTACTGGTACAAGTTTGTTCTCCAACACTATATTGAATTTGTCTTTCAGGGTCTTCTCAACCTCTTCATCAGTAAGAGTTGTGATCTGCACCACATCCATGCCGTCCATGTAGTTATACTTCATCTCAGTGAAGGTCCAGCCAACTAAGGCGTAAAGCCCCGCAGTGGTCTGGAGGGTACAAATCGACTTCTTCCGAAGTATGTTATCTGGAGACACTTGTAGGTACGTGTTCAGCTCCTGAAAGTCTTCTATATGTCGTGGCTTGAGAGTGAATGTATATATTTTTCTGATATTCCCCCGTTGAGGAGTATCAGCAAAAGGGACACTTTGCTCAGGAATATAATGCTTCCTTTTGACTTTCTCAAAGAACCAGGTGCCGTTGTCTTCCATGAAGCGGAAGATGCCGGGGACCTGGGGTTGATCCTTCCCAGAAACCAACATCAGTGGCTGCCACGCCTGGTAGGCACCGCCAAAACCCGCATCTACTATGTAGGGATCTCCCTTGATCACCACCTTCAGTAGGATATGATTCATCTCAGCAGTGTACGCCCCCTCTGCTGGTGCATAACTATTTCCTCCAAGAATACAGATGTCGTACCCTAATTGTTGCAAGGCCCAAGATAAAAGGTGGTTGCTTTCCAGGCACCATCCACCACGTTTCTTCCTCACTATCTTATTGTAAGTAGACTGTAAATCCAGTTCGATGGTCTCCCCACAATGCATGCTGAGGTTTTCAAAAGGAATTGCCTGGATGTGATGCTGGAAAATGTCTGTCAAGGTTTGCAAGTCTGCATCCTTATGGGAACTGTTGTAAGAAATTCTTGCGAAATACTCTTGAATGTCCATTTTTGCCTGTGTGAGCAGAAAAATAGCCAGTTACTGTTGTGCAGCTGTCAAGGGGTTCACTCCTGTTTCTGCAGCACAGGTTAACCAGCCTGCAAATGGAGCCTAGGCCGTTTCATTGAGGATTTGGAAGAAATCTCTGCCCTTGATAGGAGATGAATGCAGGTGAGGCCTGCCTGTGTCATCTGTATTTCTGAAAAAAGAGACGAGGATAGGAGCAGGTGACTATAATGCTTTCTCTGGCTCAGATGTTGCCTTCAACCCATGTGAATGTTTTTCCTAGGGGAAGGCACGGCAGGTGGCACAACAGAATCTCTGGCCCCATATGAGGTGCTACGTGACAAAAAATTAATCGAACCGACCACAGGTTTGCAGAAATGCTGCTAGACCGTAGCGGCATAGAATTCAAAGCAATTTCTTACTGCTTCTTTTACCATAACATATAAGCAATTCTTTATTTATGCCACGGGTAGCTTAACTGGAAAGTTTTTACATTTGAGGCTTCAGCTGACTGGGATGAACACCTCAGTGTGTCACCACTTCAGACACTTCAGTGCCTTTTGGTTCCTCTTACCATCTTTTACAAACCAAAGGCCTTATTTTCGGTTAAATTATTGGATGTATTTTGTGTCTTCATATCTCGGATCCCTTTTCCTTTCATTGGCAGAACGAGACCATCAGTGGTACTGGCGGCATGGCCAAGATGCAAAAAATTCCCTATACACTTCTAATCCAATGGCTCATCTGGTATCTGTAAGGATTTCTCCTGCCTTTTATTTAGATTTAACTTGGCTTGTTTCCATGCAAGGGTATTTGTTTTCCAGAATGATTCACAGTCTGCTAAGGACTGTATTAATTTCCAAAAGGTCTGAGGATTTCTTTCTCCTTGAAATTGGTTGCGGGTTCCCTGGGAGGATTTTCCCAAAATCATTTGATGTAGATGAGATGGGGGAGATTACCTTCCAGGGACTGTTCTCTGCTTTGGTCCAAGTTCTCCCCTAGGAGTGCCCAGCACTGTGACCCGATATCCATGCCAGCACTTGAGCGGTGCTGGGAGATTTGAAAATCCCACTTCAAATATATTAGTGGAAATACCCCCGCCCCAGCAGGTGAGCACGACAGGTGACCTTATCTCTAGACCTGAACCCCAGTTTGGATGCCAGCAGCACAACTCACCTGACTCGGTCACATTGCTCCTGATCTGCACTGGTACCAGGGTTCACACTGCCTGATGCACAAGCACAGGAAAATGTAAAAACGAGAGGACTGTCCCAATAAGGGAATAAGAAATACACATTTTCACTTCAAAAGGACCCAAAGAAACTACATGAAAAACAGTAATGGGTCTTTTGATACTGCGTTTTATGGGTTTTTTCCATCCCTTCTTTAGGACGAGGGCACTCATCTCTGGCAGGATCTCCTTGGAAACACTGGTTGTAGAAAGCCATTCCCTCCCCACAGACGGTGCACATGAACACTTGCAAGCTCATCCTGTGGTTCTCCGCCTCCTTCTTCTTTCTGTTCCCACTTTTAGCCGTGTTGCACAGCCAGACAGAAACATCTTTTCCCTATGACTCCTCACGCTGAATCTCTGTGACCAGGAGGGACCCAAGTGAGTCCATGAGCCTGGGGGGTCTGATAGCCTTGACATTTACTTTCAAGCAAAATCCAGGCAGGCCCTGCTCTGGGCCAGCAGCAGAAGACCTGATGCCCTCTGTAGAACCTGTCTCCTGGGTCTGGGTGTCCCCAGCGCCCCGGCGAGAGGGTCTAAGCAGCTCCCCTCTTCCAGCCACGAGCAACCTCCCCATGGAGAGCCTCCACGGGCTGCTGCCACTGAGGCTTTGGGAAATGTGCAGCCTGTGCCTCAGTTTCCCCAGCTGCCCTGTCTCTGGCCTCATCAACTTAAAGTCTGTGTGGAAGAGACAGCCTCGTGGGGGCTGACAAAACGGGCTCTGATCCCAGTGACTACTCGAAGAGGTTTAAGTACGATAAAGCTGCAGTACACACTCACTGTTGTGAGGGAGCATTCACGTAAACCAGCGTTTACCCCCCGCCTTCTCGGAGGCAGCTTGGCACAACCATTCCCACCGCACTAGGGATGGGGCCGCAGCAGCACGCAAGCCCTCACCCAGGGCACGGTTTGCCTTCCAAAAGTGGGTTGCCAAATACCTTCGCCCTTGATTCCTTTTGCTCCTGCAGCAGCCGAGCGTTGTTCAGCGTTTGTACAGCCTGGTGGGTACCGAGATTCAGCCGTTAGTTCTGCCTGTCTGCAAGCGCCCCTGGGGATCGCTGTGCCCTTCCAGAACTAGGCTGGATATTAGCAACAGTTCCCCTCTGCTAAAATTCAGGAGAGGCTTCCAGCGTTGGATCCTCTCGCACAACCCTATGCCATTCTCTGGATTTTAAGCCGCATGTGGCTGTTCTTTCCAGGCACCTGGGCACAGCACTAGGGCATAGCTGAAGTCTCGAGCACCTGATCTTTGTACTCGGACAACGTCCCTGCAGTGCAACGCGTGCTGTCGGCCCTGGGGTTGCTCTGACTGAGACTTGGCTCACACGCCTACAGTGCCAAGCCCATGGTGTGCAGCCCCACCGGGGTGGGCTTTTCCAAACGGGCTGACCCGCAGCTACAGGGTGAAGTTAAAGATCAGACACTCAGGCACTCACCTCCCAGGCAGCGAGCTCAGGCTTTCCACCCGGATCGGTTCCAAAGTTCCCAGGAAGAGTTGTAGAGGGAACTGCTGCTCTTAAAGGTCCAGGCTGCCTTTACTGCCCTGCAGGGACAGCGTTATCTTCCAGCAGAACAAGGAAAGAGGGGAGAGAGTTTCTTCTGTTATAATATTCTATATTGAGATGGTTTTACTGCATTTTCTCTAATGACATCTGTGTAGAAAGCCCTGTCACGCAACTCCAGGTCTTAGGTGATGTACAGAGAGCCTGAATACGATCCAGGCCCCACATCACCTAACAATACTGAGTAGATTTAACCTCCCACGTTACTGATTGAGAACTGAAGCCCTCCAGGAATGCAAAGGAGAAACACACGATGTTTATTACAAGCAACTTTTGTCAGGGGTTATAACCCTGTCCTCAACCCCACAGGTCACCCAGGTGCTTCAGGCTCTGGCACACCTTGATGGCTGCACCCCGGCTGAAGCAGCAAAGCAATAGTGGCAAATTTGGACACGGTTTTCCTTTGCTGACCCTCAGATGGCCTGGATCCCTGTAGGAAGCCGCTTCTGATAGAGAGATAAGGAATCCAAGCCAAGAACTCACTAATTTGCAGGTGGGGATGGCAATCGCTGAATTAACCACACTGTGCTGAGCTATTCTTCATGTCTGATACCAGACCCTGAAAGCAACAAGGTCAGCCTGGCCAAGTCATTCAGGTGTGTAAATCTCCTCGGGTTCAAAGAGAAGCCCTGTCCTTCGGCAGTGAGGATGCTGCTCCCGGGGAGCGCTGCGCTCCCTGAGCCTGCTGTGCCTTTAAGGATTTGGCTCCAAAGTTACCCACGAGGGAGAAACAAACTAGTGCAATCTGCCATGAAGAGACTCTCTTTTTTCCCCCTTCCAACAGAGAGCTTCCCTCGATTGCTCAGCAATAAAATCTGCTGCTGTGGGTGTGCTGAGCAGGAGGGCCAGGAGCGCTGAGCCGGGCCACAAAGCAGCAGCAGCCAGAGCAGGGCGCGGGGCGCACGCTCGAGGGGATCAACCAGCTGAAAGGAAAGTGGGTTTGCTGTTGTTGTGTCCCTTCACACGCCGAATCTCTGCGGCAGTGGACATGATGCCCTACTTCTTCCCCTGAGCCCATAAAAAAGCCAAAGCCCCAGAAATACCCAGGCACGGGGAGAGGAACTGCAACAGCCCTCTCTAGATGTTTCCCGTGTCTCTTCCCACAAGTGATGGAGCTTCTTGGCTCTGCACGGACCTTCTCCTGCCCCACACCTCTGCAAGGCCCGGCTGGGCTTTTACCTCTGTCTGCCCCAGCTGCCAGGCTGCTGTGAGGATAAACCCACCGAGTTCCACTCGTTTAACTTTTCCACTGACGCGGGGACCAAAGAAGGATACAGCTTGCACACACGCCAGGTCCTGGCTCCGCTGCTTCTCACCATCCCTCTTGCAAGCTGCTGGCCCACGCTGTAAGGAGCCCCTTGTTCTTCTACACCCCGCATTTGATTTCCCTCTAGCATGGGGGAGCCTCCTGCGCTGTAGGGCACTACTGCACACACGCAGCCACGCACACGTGGAGGCCTTTGCCTCTGGGACGTCGGGATTTGGGGAACTCCCTGTGTCTCTAGGAAATACACTGTGCAGCATAGCAGCAGCTTTTATTAGCTACAACCTGCTGGCTAGGGAAAGCTGCACATTTTGCATAACAAAGGGTCAGTGAGTTACTGTATTTTTAAAAGCCTTAGCTGCAAAACATTACCACATTAAAACAAATCAGGACAACTGCAGTGATTAATGAAATTTTTTACTTTGGGAATACATGTTTGCGAATACATCCTTCTACTTCATAATTCTTGGAGTTTTGATATCACTTATATCATTTACTTCATTCTAAGTGCATAGTTGCAATGCTTCCATGGTTTGTACATAAAGGAACATCAAGCATCATCTCAGAGGGCAAAGTGATTACATTTGAGTAATTTCCCATGCTACAAATCTTAGCCTTTAGGTATCTGATTAAGATGAGTCGTTTCCCTTCTATCAATATAATTAGTCTCACTGCAAACACGTCCTCAGTAGAACGGATAGGTTTCAGAAAACCAATTCTGGGCATGTGTTTGGGTTCAGGCACGGTAAGTAATGTGCAACAGCACTTGGAGAAGAGTAACACTCTTAGGAGAGGAGCGGGTATTCCCAGCAGTCTGCTGCTGGGTGGGAGCAAACAAAATGCAGGGCGATGCTTCCCGTTCAATTCAACGGGAGATGCTTTCAATTCAAAGAAATACTGCTCTTTGGCTGTGTCACTGAGAGAACGGGACAAGTCTGAAAGAAGACAGAAATGTCCACTAACATGTCTCATCCCCAGCTTCAGGCTGTAAATAGCCAGTCGGTAAGTATTTGCAGAGCGCAGCCTAGGCATGGGACAGCCTGCCTGCTGCCTGCGGGGGTGTTGTGAAGATAAGAGCAGACAGGACAGGCTTTTGGCTTACTGTAGCAAACTCGACACTGGATGCCTTTGTTTTTCTGGCTATTAAATTCCAAAAGTACTGTGGTATTCATTTAAGAGGTGGGTATGATCTTCCTCAGCTGGCAGCGCAAAGTAATAAAGGAAGAGACATACAGCTCCACTCCTCTGCCCTGCTACTCTGGATGTATTTGGAAAAGCTTTTAAGAGATGAAAGGAGTAGGGACTGGGCAGCGTGTGCTTCCAGCTAAGCACAAACAGAAGGGGAGTGATTTGATTGAGCTAGGAAGAAATTATTTGTATCCAAACCAAGAAGAAATGCAGGAGCGGTTGTGAAAATCAATATCCTTTCCAGATTCATGCTAATAAGTTCTGCCTTACACAGGTGTGGATGGAAATGAAAGCCTAATGTTAAGATGTTTGTCAGAAATAGAGGAAGGATTGCATGCAATGGCACTGGATTGAATTATAATTCAAGGGAGTGAGTTAAAATGGAGACAACCTGCTTTTATTGACAGGTACAAATTTCCTGTCTAGTGTTATATTGAATTTCTCTCTCAGTGTTTTCTCCATTTCTTCGTCTGCAAGGATTCTGATTTCCACCAGATCCATACTGTCCTGATAATCGTACTTCATCTCGGTGAGTTTCCAGCCCACCAGAGCCCGGACACCGTCGGTGGTCTGCAGGCTGCAGATAGACTTTGTCACAAACAGCGAGTCTGGCGCTGTCTGCAAGTGGGTGTTTTGGGCTCGGAACTCTTCGATGTCTCGTGGCTGAAGGGTAAAGAGATAAACCCGACGGCAAACTTCTTTCTCCACGTTATGGGCAGTGGAGGCACTTTGGTTGGGAACCCACTGCTTCCTTTTCACCTTCTCCAGGTACCAGACCCCGCTCTCCTCCAGGAAGCGAAAGATCCCAGGAGTCTGCGGCTGGTCTCTCCCTGAAATCAGCTCCATTGGCTGCCACATCTGGCGGTCTCTGCCAAATCCACCGTCCACGATGTAGGATTTGCCATCAAGCACCACTTTTAGCAGCAGATGATTGATTTCATCTGCATACGCCTTGTACTCCAGGTCATAAACTTTTGATCCCAGAAGGGTGATGTCGTAACCGAGGGTTTTCAGGACCCACGATAAAAGGTGGTTGTTTTCCATGCACCAGCCCCCACGTTTCTTCCTCACTATCTTGTTGTAAGTCGCTTCTAGGTCCAGCTCAATGCTTTCCCCACAGTGGATGCTGAGGTTTTCAAAAGGGACTGCTCGGATGTGGTGCTGGAATACATCCGTCAAGGTAGCCAGATCCGGCTTATCGTAGGAGCCCTGGTAAGAAATTCTGGTGAAATACTCCTTGATGTCCATGCTGCCTCAGGGGGGTGGAAAGAAAGAATAGGTTGTGTCAGAAGTGACAGAAGGATCTTCCGTTATAACGGGGTCCTCATCAGTATGGGCAGCCTGGCCAGCAGAGAGGGGGATTTGACTAATGGCCCCATCAAAGGCAGCTGAGTGTGAGTATTAGCGCCAAGGGAAGCCAATGGACAGTGCTGATGAGCACAAATGTTATTTTTAATTGTTTCTTTTACAGCTGTGACGAGAGGCTCCAGCTGTGCTAAGCACATTTCAGTAGAGAGCTCCTGCCCAGCAAAGCTACAAATCTCCCTAGGAAGGAACAAAACCAGTAGCAGCACTGTTTCCCCGCTAGACATTATAGGAACCGAGACTCTCCAGATCTGAACGGCTTTGCTCGTGGTTTGACTCAGCAAAGCAGAAGCAGGAAACAAAAGCTGCCACTCTTGCAGAGCAATCCAGAGCCCCCTCTGCAACCAACTCTGAAATAAATCTGCCCTGCCGTGGTATTTCCTTCATTATTTAGGCAGCCTGGCAGGAGCTGGTCTCACCTGCTCCTGCTCTCTGTGCGGGCGGTAGCAGACACGTCCTGGAGTGCAGAAGGGAATTTGGGGGGCAGAAAAGGCCAGGGGAGGTTTTTTGCTGCATCTGCTGTGAGACGCCTCCCTGCAGCACAGTTTAACTACCCAGCAGCAGGACGACACCAATGTTTGGGCCAAAACTACAAATTTCAGGGGGGCCTCACATTTTCTGACATCACTTTTTGGGAAGCACTTGCTCCTTCAACTCATAATCTCCACAGTGGCGGGTGGCTGCCCGTGGGTGAAGGACCAGGCATCGCCCTGCCCAGCACAGGACAAGGGCTCAGCAGGAGGCTGTTTCACAAGCACGGGGGTGGAAAGCAGCCGGAGCCCTCCCAGCCCTCCGAAGGGAACAAGAAAGGGATTTTGATGTAGCCAAATACTTTTGTTGCTCCTCCCCAGGCAGCAGTAAATTTCAGGCATCTCTGAGTATGGAGCAATGTTGTTCAGATTACTGACTCAAGATGTCTCAAAATGTTCTCAAGTTCCT